GCGCTAGTCTGGATGCTCCGCGGTCGACATCAAAGGCATTTGTCGACCGCCCCGTTATGCTTCGTGGGATGAGGTTTACCGGGGCAGTCGACAAATGCCTTTGATGTCGACCGCGGAGCATCCAGACTAGCGCACTGAGCCAACAAACAGCTGATCAGCTCAGCGCGGCAGCCATTGTAATTTAAATGAAGCGGCGATTACTTAAATCATAGCTTCATTTGGGTATTTCTAGTAAACTAATCTACATGGCTATGGCGACAGAGCCATGTTGTCTAGGCACACCCTCTGTGTCTACACAGCCATTCTGTTATTTCAAAATTATTTCAAAATAACGGGCAGCTTATTCTGCAATCTGTGAACCTCATTCCATGAAGAATAACCCCTATTTCGAAACAGCTCTTTCGAAATAAGGCCTGTGTAGACACTCCCCTGCTGCTATTTTGAAATAGCCCCTCACCAGGGCAATTCTAAGATATTCCTCCCCAGTGCCTCCTGGGGCTCTAAATCGAGATAGCACATCCACATTAGGGAAACTTGCTTCGGACTTATTTTGAGGTTTCCCTGCAGTGTAGATGTGCTATTTTGAAATAAGCTATTCCAGAATAACTTATTCTGAAATAAGAGTATGTCTACACTACAAAGTTAATTCGAACTAACAGTTGTTAGTTCAAATTAACTTTCATAGCGTCTATACATACAAACTGCTAATTCGAACTTAAATCGAACTAGCAGAGCGCTTAAGTCGAAATAGATAAACTTCATTCTACGAGGAGTAACGCCTAGTTCAAATTAAGTAGTTCAAATTAAGGGCTGTGTAGCCACTTAATTCAAACTAGTTAGAGGCTAGCCCTTCCCAGGTTGCCCTGGTGGCCACTCTGGGCCAAACCAGGGAGACTTTTCTGCCCCCTTCCCAGCCCTGGAACCCTTAAAGGGACACGGTCTGGCTACAGTGCTTGTGCCAGTTGCAAGCCTGCCATCACCCAGCCAGCAGGCCCTGCACCTGGTATGGCATGAGCCAGTCACCTGCTGCCACCCAGCCCTCCACCTCTTCCCGGGACCAGGCTGGCGGCTCCCAGGAGCCTGCCTGGGGCCACAAGAGGCTCATCGAGGTTTGGGGGGAGGCCTCCAACGTCCATGACCTCCGCACTAGGTACAGGAATGCGGCCATCTAGGGCAGGATAGCTGCCAGCCTGGCCACCAAAGGCCACATGCAAACCCAGGAGCAGGTTTGCATGAAAATCAAGTTGGTCCAGTGAGACCCCCGACCCTGAGCCCTGAGCTTAGAACATAAGAACATAAGAATGGCTGTATTGGGTCAGACCAAAGGTCCATCTAGCCCAGTAGCCTGTCTGCCGACAGCGGCCAACACCAGCTACCCCGGAGGGGATGGACTGAAGACAATGACCAAGTGATTTGTCTCATGCCATCCATCTCCAGCCTTCCACAAACAGAGGCCAGGGACACCGTTCCTACCCCCTGGCTAATACCACTCCATGGATCCAACCTCCATGAATGTATCTAACTTCTCTTTAAACTCTGTTATAGTTCTAGCCTTCACAGCCTCCTGTTGCAAGCAGTTCCACAGGTTGACTATGTGCTGTGTGAAGAAGAACTTTTGCTTAGTTTTAAACCTGCTACCCATTCATTTCATTTGGTGTCCTCTAGTCCTTCTATTATAGGAACTAATGAAGAACTTTTCTTTATTAACCCTCTCCACACCACTCATGATTTTATAGACCTCTCTCATATCCCCCCTCAGTCTCCTCTTTTCTTGGCTGAGAAGTCCCAGTCGCTTTAGCCTCTTTTCATATGGGACCTGTTCCAAACCCCTAATCACTTTAGTTGCCCTTTTCTGAACCCTTTCCAAGGCCAAAATATCTTTTTGAGGTGAGGAGACCACATCTGTACACAGTACTGAAGATATGGCGTACCATAGTTTTAAACTTCCCCTCTTCCTTCTCTCCCTGGCTTCCTCCTTCCAGCTACCTCCTCCCAGGTTTCCACCATATATGGGACCTGTTCCAAACCCCTAATCACTTTAGTTGCCCTTTTCTGAACCCTTTCCAAGGCCAAAATATCTTTTTGAGGTGAGGAGACCACATCTGTACACAGTACTGAAGATATGGCGTACCATAGTTTTAAACTTCCCCTCTTCCTTCTCTCCCTGGCTTCCTCCTTCCAGCTACCTCCTCCCAGGTTTCCACCATATTCCGGGAGGTCCTGCAAGCCTCTGGTGCTTTGGAGTGTAAGCAGAGAGCTTGTCGGGCAGTGATCAGAGACTCAGTGCAGAGAGACAGTGGGCACAGGAGACATGGGCAGCAAGAAATGATAATGCTGCTCAGAGAGCAAACAGACATGCTGAAGTCATTGATTAACCTTCAGGTTGAACACATCCATGCTCAGGACCTCCCTATACTCCCCATTCCCCAGGAGAGATTACATAACAGCTACACATGCACCCAGCTGAGAGAGTCTCACTGGTGTATGTGCTGGTGAATTCCCTGTTCCTTTCCCTTTACAGATACTTTTTCCTGTACATATGGAAATTTTCCTCATCACTCCATAGGTATGCTTGCATGGCTGTGGGAAGTGAATTTCAACATACAGTGGATGCTGCTCACAATAACAAGAGGTGCATTTGAATTGTTATAATAGCACTTATAGAAAAATGACTGCAAGCTTCATAGCGGGGTGAGATGGGGAGAGAGAGGACAATGTCAGGATCAGCACATTACAGCAACAAAGAATTCTTCTTATAGCCCTAGTATCTGGCTGCTTAAAATTAGCTGACATATTATCTACCTTCATGCTCCACCGTGGCAGAAATTTCTCCCCCTTTGCTTCAGACATTATGAACCACATAGCAACTCTCTATGACCATGGGGAATATTTTCCTTGCTGAGCTCTAACCTCCTGAACAGACAGCATGATGGCCTTTCAAATTGCTA